TATATGCTACTGTGCCTTTTGTAACAGCAGAACCCCAAAAGTGCTGAGAAATCTGCTCACCAAGAAAGGTTGGACTGAAGGTCTGCCTGGGCGAGGCCACCAGCTCAGCCTCCGGGCTTCCATTTTGGAGGGTCTGAGGATTTTTGACAAACATCAATGACTGCTTACAAAGTCAAAGAAATCCCTACAAAATACTCATCTTGCTTCATTCTGACCATAATTCATCGTAATTTGTTTTGTGATTTTGCAGAATCGGACCGTACCTTGGTTGTTACCCCGATCCTCTGGTACTTTGGGAGGAATCTGAGGAAGAACGGGGGTCCCTTGCGCCTCCTCCTTCGTGCATGGCCCGGAGGTGGCTGATTTGAGGGAGGGGTGGGCTCCTCGTCTCTGCTGCTGGCCTGATTCTCCTCTTCATTGGAGATGTCTGGCTGTCTAGTACTTTCAGGGCTTGGGGTCACAGGCAGCTTGCACTGGATTTTCTTTTCCTGGTCAGAAACCAGCAAGTCCGAGGGGCCCGGCAGCGACTGTCTGCAGGGCACATTGCTGGGACCGACCAACATCAGATGGAAGACCTTCCTCTGATTGATCCTTAGGGTGTCATTAATGTCACCAAGGACGGAGCGAATCGTGTGCTCCGTGACACCCTGGGCATCTCGGGCAGCAAAATGGCCGTCGAGTGACATGGCAGGCAGGACATGAGTCCGTCCAGCCCGAGGAATGTGTCAGCTTGCTGTTTCAAAGGTAAGAATGAGACCCATGAATTCCACAGGCAAAAGATGGTCATCCTACTGAATCCTATGACTTATTATAATGCCATTCGCCACCAGTGTCTTAAAAGTTACACTTTGAGTTGTTGAAAATGATTCCGGAATAGACAGGGCACACAGTATAATGAAACAGAACAGAAGTGACTATTTACCACATGATGGTGAAATGGGGCACACTTGGTAGCCTCCAGGATGCAGCAAGACGAATACTGCTGCAGCTTCCCAGTTACCAGTTGCAGACACAGGAGAAATTAACAGCATTTACACTTAATTTCACAAGTTCAACAAATTCAGACAAATGTACAGAAACGACAAATAGTGTAATACCAATGGATGCAAAACCTGGCATGAACCTAATATAACCTAATGCACAGGGGAAAGCCCTTCAGAACAAAAAAGATTGAGATCCCAGGTGAATGGACAAGAAAACTTTTATATCAGAATCAAAGAGCACAGAGGACAAAACACTCACTTCAGGACTCAGTTCAGAAATTTCCTTGGTCTTTCTGACAAAGAGCTTAACTGTATCTTCAGAGATTC